GACTGACACCCGCCTACCCGGTCCTGGAGGACGACGGCGTAAACTCGTACAACCCGCACCTACCTGGAGCTTTGCATTTAGGCTGCATTAGTCTATCCACATGTAATTTGCCAAGCGAGATATATCCGATGGCTGGTGCCACACAGATGATCTTCTGGTGGATGGGAACGAGATCTAAGTATAATAGCTTTGTCATCGTGCAGTAAAAACTACCAGGCAAATATATTCGCGAACGTTTGGCTGCTGTACAGTTGCATTACATTTTTTGTTGTTGAGTTTTTGGCAACACTCATTTTAAGAACTCTGGCGTTGGCATTCTAGTACAGTTTGGAACACCATAGAAGTGTCCATTATAATAGTGCGGATACCTATTGTAGGCGACATTGAACATTGGGCCAGAATCTAGAGAGGCATAAGAGGTCTACATTTAGGAAAACCTAGATCGACATTTAGATATAGGGTGCAATCATGCGTTTAGATTTCGATTTTGTGGTAATTTTTAGCCAATTCCCAGCCGTTTTGGAGCTACAGTCGTTTAAAAATGCCTTCTCAGAACACTGTCATTTTCGGGGGAAAGGCGCGCCAAATACACAGATATGATTGGTCTAGAATCAAAATCCTATGTCAAAAAGGAAGACGACACATCGCCCGGTCGCAGATTGCTCTTGTCGATTTAACATTCAATTCTGCCAGCAGGATGGTGAAAAAAATTATAAAGGTATTGTACATGGATTTTGTTTTGTTTTTATCATCTGTACTGTTCTAATTTCTTCTGAAGAGCGACGAACTGGTCCTCGATCTTCTGCACGTGTCGAAATAGAGCGAGCCAGTCAGCTGGTGTAATTTTGGCTAGACCACACAGTACCTTCTTCTGCCGCAATCCTATTCTTCAACAAGCCCCAAATAAGTTCGATCGGCTGCAAAGTTGGATGATAAGGCGACTGGGCTTTGTACAAATTTTAGTAAAAAAGGAAATGTTACAATATCAGTTATAATTGATATACCTCAAAATCATTGTCTGGGCTATTCTTTTTCTCATTAACCACGGAGTCAACGGTGTTGGGAGCACAACCAAGGCAATCAGAGACCAGTTGGCGTGTCCTGATGCCTTTGAAGAGGCCTTGTTCCTTCTGGCTTTTGAAATACTCGTAGCTGTTCACAATCATCCGCTTCTCTCTTGGGCAGAACTCGTGCTTGCCGGACATTTTCGTTGACCTTAAATGATGCTTCTGGCTAATTGATGAGTTCTACCGCCCTCTCAAGACACTAAGTGATATATAGCACTTTTATTTATATCAAACAGACAGTTATTAGACTTTTTACAGTCTGTTATAGTATGGTTTACAATTTCTGGCCCAATGTTCAATGTCGCCTACAATCTTCAACTTGCCCGCGAATCAGTGTGCCATCTGATTCCATAGCCAACCATCTGCTTCCACGAATATGCCGTCTTTACAAATACCAACATTCGCACTCTACGGCAACAGAGTCAGTTGCGAATTCGCCGCCTCCACCCCACGTCATCGCCGACGTCCCCGAACCAGTGCCTCTTCCTCTCCATGCTGCGCTGTCTGGTCCTACTGCTGCTATCGCCGCTGACTTTGGCTGTTCAGCCGCGCGATTTCCGCGTGCCGCCCGTGGATTTCACGCAACTCTCGAGTGCCACAAACAATGCGCACAACTTCGACTTGCTTGCCAAACTTCAGGAAAATGGCATCATCGCATTGCAAAACATACACATTTTGCCACTTCTGCGACACGAATATCTTCGCACTGCGGCAACTTGTGCCGAGAAAGCCCAGAAGAAAGGGGCCGAGTTTCTCCTGCATCGGCAACTGAGGGACAACACCAACCGTTATACTGTCAGTCTTGAGTCTGGCCGGCAACTGATGGAATCTTTGGACCAAAGTGCCGAACTGTTGGCAATTTGCCCCGAGTACGTTGAAATTCACGCCGCTTTCAGCTCGGCAGTCGAATTGGCGGTTGCCAATGTGGGAACCGCTCTCGACGCCACGCAAAAGTTCCACGTCACAGCCGAAAAGGGAGCTGTGACCATGACGGCACGTAAACTACTGGAAGAATCTGTTCACCTGGACCATTTCCACGCCTACGAAGCTGCTCAGGACATGCGTAGACTGGAAACAGATTCGGAAATTAACGTTTCCGACATGTCACTGGAGTTGCATACCGACAATGGCCTCATGATTGCCATGAGTGCACCCGAGTATTTCGAAGTGTCAAGCACTG